CGAGTACGACCCCACCATTGAGGTGAGACCGGGGCGCTCGGGGCCGAGCTCCTCACACGGGGGGGGCTGCGTGTGAATCGAGGTGGGAGGCTGCTCCTGGTTGGTTTGTTTATTTTTGCTTTAAAAAGCCAGATTGCGAGTTCAGGGTGCGCAGGATAAGAAATTCCGGGAAAACTCAAAATTTCCCTGTCCGTTCTACGCCTCGCTTTGTGAAGCGGAGTGTAGGCAGCCGCAGTGGCGACAAAAACAGTCGCCGCCGCGCTACGTAAACTGTAGCTTCTACTCCTGATGTTGTAGTGATGGTATTTATAACGTATAATTTTTTTTGCTGTCTGCCAAATGAGGAATTTCTTACCAATAACAGATTTTTAAAAAAAGTTTTTTAAGAAAAGTTGAGGAGCTTAGAGTAATATTTTAAATACTGATAGTTTTAGATACTGGGAGGGGCTAGAAAAGCTCCTCTGAATCATACTCTTCTTTTTTATCATTATTTTTATTTTTGCTTTAATAATGCCCAGAGCAGAAAGTAGTATTACAATGTTTTTCTCTAATCTAAAATTTGCTTGTGTATTTTGCAGGATTCGTATAGAAAGCAGGTTGTTATTGATGGAGAGACATGCTTGTTAGACATTCTGGACACTGCGGGACAGGAAGAGTACAGTGCCATGCGTGATCAGTACATGAGAACCGGGGAAGGATTCCTCTGTGTTTTTGCCATTAACAACAGTAAATCCTTTGCTGATATTAACCTTTACAGGTATGAGCTGGGTCTTTGATGCAGGGAGGGAAGACTGGAAGAGGCATCAGACTCAGTGAAGGCTAAATAATAGACACATACGAAGTCCTCCACTTCTTTCAGAAAGTTTTTCAAGCTTATCTGCTTGCTGTGTCTGTACATTGTTAGTCAATCGAGAGTGGGACAGTTTCGTGGGTTGTTATGTTAACCAAATTGTATTTAGAGCATAGAGAACATGATCTCCAAGAAAATGGGTAAGAAAAACACACATTAGAGTGGAGTTCTGCATGGATTAGAAGATGGAGTGTACGGAGTTATTAATCGTACTGCTGTAGGTTAGAACCCCTGAGGTTCCGTCCAGCTTTAATACATGTGTATTTTTGTAGCACAAGGTTGTTTGGATACTGAACTAAAACAGTTTTTATATTTAGAAAATGGCTCCTAACTTTTTTTTATTTGTCTTTTTAAAGAGAACAGATCAAGAGAGTGAAAGATTCAGATGACGTGCCAATGGTGCTAGTTGGGAATAAGTGTGATTTGCCCACAAGAACAGTAGACACGAAACAGGCTCAAGAATTAGCAAAAAGCTATGGAATCCCCTTCATAGAGACATCTGCTAAAACAAGACAGGTAAGACGCTTCCATTCTTGGTCTGGCTTCTTCCTGTATGTTGAATGCAGAGTGGTCTAACGTTTTCCTGTGTACTTTTCTTCTTATCTACAGGAGTAAGCATTTTTTAATTCATTTGAAATTTTTAGCTTTTGATTTCTCCACTCACTCTTAGCCTGAAAGCGTTCTGTTTTTATCACTGGGCTAGGTCAGGACACAAATCACTTCAGACTGGTATTGACTTTCTTTCAAGTGGGTCGTGTTCATAATAAGAAGGAGAGCTTCGTCTGCTCTTGCTGAGAAGTGGTCAGACTGTGCGATTAGTTGTCCCAGACCTGTTTGGTTTTCTTGGCTTCTTAACGAAAGCCAATTTTAAGGTTATGTTCACAGAAGGAATTCCCCAGACTGGACTAATAGACTTCTTCAGAATTGCATTGAATGTGTGGCTCTGTCCAGTCAGCCTGTGTTCTACCTATATCAGTGTGGAATGAAGCAGAAAAGATGCAGTTATTAAGCAGTAGCCAGAAAATTCTTAAGAATTCTAAAACAGAGGTGGTTAGTCAAGTAGCTCGTTTCCTGCGTGGCACTCCTCTACAGTTACGATTTGCCTTGTTTCTTTTAATGGTTGTTACCCTGGATGTTTGCCTCAGAGGAAAAGTTAAGAGCGTAAGTGGAAGGTTTTGGACATAAGTGCTAGTTTCTTCCTCCTGTGAGCTATGGGATAAGTTGGTTACTACTCTTCCTGTAGAAGTATGTCTTTCAAATATGTTAAGGGATCCTGGGATGGAAAGAACAGTGATCTAAAAAGCTTCAGGAAAGAAAATACTTTACCTGGATCATTTGCATTCAGGGTGTGGAAGACGCTTTTTACACGCTGGTGAGAGAGATCCGGCAGTACCGGATGAAAAAGCTCAACAGCAATGAAGACGGGAATCAAGGCTGTATGGGATTGTCTTGCATTGTGATGTGATAAGGTGAGCTGTAATTTCAGTTTTTCGTTGGCTTCTTGTCTGTATGTCTTTCAGTTGTTGACAAGCGTGCCTTAGAAATACTGGCTGCTATGGGTGGGGTTTTTCTGTATTATACAACCCATTGATACCCAGAGATTTAGACCTGCAATTAATTACTTCTCCAAATTTTTTAGGTTTTTTTTCCCCTCTAAGTAAATAGTAAAGCTTATGAAATGGAAATTCTATTCACAGCAACCTTTTGGCTGTAACCTGTGGATTTCCACTGAACTGATAATTGTGTGATTTTCTGTATCATTCTTGTCAGTGTCTCCTTCCTTTGGGAAACCATTTTGACTGTTTGGAGAATGTAACTTCTGTCTTGTACACAAGAAACACCTGAACTAGAAAGAGGAGCGTGCACAATTCTGCAGTCACCATTTGCTGATGATTGATTGACTTCTGCGCAGCTTATCTTGAGCTGTGTTCCTCTGGAATATGCACTGTTTGAAGATTAGCCAAATAAAATAAAGCGAGTCATGAAATTTCTGAGTTCCCCAACTGAGTGCAATTCTTTTCAACAGTTACCTAAAAGCAGTTACCCATCACTGTAAGAACAGGTAGACCAGTTCAGGACTTGGACGACACTAGAGGTGCACATCCATCCCAAAGTTGGACAGCAGCTAATGAGTGATGCCTTTCTGTTGCAGATGCCAAGAATATGTGGTTCAGATGCAGCTGCTGGACGAGTCTCGATGCTACTGTATTGCGTCTCATGCTGATGCCCTGCAGTATTTTGGTGCCAGTGGCCAGAATCTTGGTACCAGTTAATTAGCACAAGGTCCTTTTCTGTGCTCCATCTGAAGAGAACATCTATGGCGTCTACCTCCTTGCTCAGCTAACAGAGCAGTCACATCTCTTGATGCACTGGGATTCTTTTCTCACTGTGTTATCTGGGTTTGTTCAAGAAGAAAACCAGTCACAAGAAAAGTGAACTATAGAGACTAAATGCTGTGAAAAAGATGACACTTTACCTCTAGAGTAAAAGCTAGAAGTGATGTTTGTCCCCTTTCTATTGGATTCTGATTTGCAGTGCTGTCAGAGGAGTGGCACTAATCATTGCTCGGCAGGTAATGTCAGAAATGGTTTTGCCACCGTGAATGCTTCTGTCTCGTATCAGATTGGTGTCTGCTCTCGGTGCACCCGTACAGCGTATTTGCAACATCTCCTTTGTGCCAGGAGTACCACTTAACCGATCCTTCATTTTCTGTAATAAAAAGGAGATATCTTTCCTAAATTAAGTGCCTGTTTGCTAAGAAGATTTGAAGTTGTCCCCTGTTCCTTGGGTTGAGGAAAACCCCAAGGACTGGAATTTCTTGGGAGCTCATTGTCATATGCAGGCAAGTCTTGTGTGGGTGATCTCTTTGCCTGACAGGATACTAAAACAGGAATTTGTAGGCTGGAAGAACGAGCAGGCACTTGTAAGACTCTTGAACTAGGGAGGGGGACATACTGCATCTGTTTAATTTTACTTTCTTTGTAAGTGGAACTGTTTATATCCTATATTGTTTTTCTGCAGCATTCAGATCTCTTCCAAGTTGGACCAAATTAGTCAGCTGTTCATTTTTAACATTAACTGCCAACATTTATGGGCAGCTTCTCAATAGTTAATCTAGCGACTGGAGGTTAGTTTGGACAGCTGTTACTCAGCTCTGTCTGTAACTTGCAAATTATTTTATTCTGAATTATTTTCTTACCACCAGACTGTAAACGTAGTCTCTTCAAAATGTCTCTCTGTAACATGTAGTTGGAGAGTCTTCTTGTCAGGGAAGGAGTGTGGGATTTCAGGTTGACTGGATTTGGTGCAGTGGTTGTCATGGACTTCATATGTCCAGACTGAGGGGAAAAGGCAACGAGCTATACCAGAAAACTGAGCTAGCTTCTGATTGCAGCATCCTTGCAAAATGAGGAAGGAAGTGAGTTCAGTGATGACTATGCAGAAGCCATGTGATACACTGATGGGAATTCTGGGCTTGTTCTAACAGCCTCGTAGTACGAGAGAATTACTGCAGAAGCTGTGTGAGCTCTTCCTAGAACAAACCATTGTCACCTCATATAATTGGGACATACAAAGGTGGTCACTGTTGCAAAACCTACCAGTGTTCCTTGGAATGCTGCGTCCTTTCCTAATTCTTGTGCTGCTGATACTGGATCCTGTTCTGTGTGGTCAGACAGTGTATCCCACAGCAAAGCTGAGTTCCCAGTTGCTACCTGATGGAAGAGTAAGGACCCTTCAGCCAACAGAGGGAGCGTTCAGTCAGGCTGCCGAACCAGAGCGAGCAGAGAAATTGCTAGAGGCTTAATTTCAGTTTGTTGGTATCAGATTCATAAATCTTAATTTGGAGTTCTCAATTTCAAATGGAAATCAGAAATCAGTAAATACTGAGAGAAGAAATTGTTCCTTTTGATATTGCTTCCTTCACTACTTACGTTCTTAATTCTCTTCTTGGAATGCAGAGGATCAATCTGCATCACATTTTCTTTACCCGTGGTAATCCTTATAAGTACTGTTTGCAATTTATCTTACCCTTGACTGATTTGACACTGATAAGAATTAAAAATACAGTATGTTTACATCAAACATTATTTTCCAGCTGCATAGGCAGTGGTGGGCAGCATTATGGATAGCATTGGCTGTGACTTGACTTGAGTTCGTTTGAAGATGATCTCATGCCTGCAAGTTAAACGTGACAGTTACCATCACTGCAAGCTGTCGTGCCTGTTATCAGCAAGCAGTGTTTTTCTTTTGTTTGGTGCAAGAAGAGAAGTTATTTCTGAAAGCATTATTTGAGCACTGTGTCAAGGAGATGACTGACTGCTTCTAAAGAGGTGTGACACGCTGTTGTCCGCTTAATACAAGTACACATGGAAAATTACAGCTTTTGGGATACGCATCTGGTCACGCAGACTCAGCATTTTGGAAAGACAGCAGCGTGGAGTTTGCAACATGTTTAAACGGTGCGATCTCATCATCTGGGTCCATGTATGTTTTTTGATTATTTGGGAAACTTGGGAGTTTCTTTCCTGGCAAGCAGGATTGCAGAGTTCGGAGCGTGACTGCCTGCTGCCCGTGGCCAAGGGAAACCTTTTGCAGCTGGCATCTGATGTTTGAAGGTTGTGTGGTCAAATATGGAAAATTATTTCTTTTGGATGGAGGTTCATCACGATAATTCTCTACATTGCATGGCATGTTCTAGTTGTCATTAAAAATGTACTAGCTTTAACTCCAAAAGTTGTGAATTCTCAGAATTGTATGGGAACTGGTAAATGCATCTACTTTCTCTTTGGTGTTCCCTTTCTCTTGGGCTATATAAAATCTTAAAGGGAAGAAGACCTGGTAAGCACAGGTCAGTATGTGTTTCACCTTTGGAACCTTAGAGGAGGATATACTCAGAGATGAACTACACAGGTGGTACTCCCATCTGCATTATTTTAGTTTCAAATCTAGTGAGTGATAGAAAATCAGGGTGTTGTACTAGTCGTGAATATGAAGTAAATGGTTGTACTTTGTTTCCTGCTATCTGTATATGAGAACCCTGATTTTGGTGGCAACTGAGAGAACTGTGGGAGGACAAAAACCCAAGAACTTTTGGGAAAGTTATTTAGAAGATAAGCACAGAAGTTCTTGCACAAGGCAGGTCCCTGGAAAAGGTGGTTTTGTAGATTTATGTTATTGTTATTTAGAACTAACAGCACAACACCGTGTTAGTGCCAAGCTAACTTTACTATCCTGACTGGGAAGAACAGACATAAACAACTTTGAGGTAAAACATTAAAAAAGGGTAGAGCTCTTGTTTAAAATTTACAAGTGCCAGTAACTGAAAGAAAAGTTTCTGTTATTATGGACCAAGAACAGCTGTTTAACGAGGTAGTATAACTCTGTGGCTTGTTACCGTCAGTGTCCTCGCTCAATGGTCTTGTTCAAACTACGGTGCTCAAATTTTGTTCTTACTGTCATCAGTAGGACTTTGGATAGTAATCATGATAATTTTTAGTACAGTTGAATGACTTAGAATTTGATTTCAAGCAACTTCAGTCTGTGGAGGGAGGGAAGGGGAGCAGTGGAAGTTCAAACTACGTTCTGATCCTCTACGTGGTCCTTCGTTGCTCCCCAAGCCTTCAGTGAGTGTTTGTGTATAACCTCCAGGATGGTAGGGAACTGTTGGGATCTGGACTTCTTATCCAAGGGCTAATTTGTTGTTACTTTGTATAATTATTTGCTTTCAGTAATGCATCTCTTTTGGTTTGAATTGAAGTAAATTATTTTGCTTCTTAAATAACTTTTTTAAAGAATAAACTTTGAATTCTTGGGTTGTTTCTTTTGTGGTAGCGATCTGGGCATGGGATCCGCAACTGGGCTTATCACGATGCGATCTGCTTTCTGGGATCTAGATTTACTGAAATTGTCGCATCTGTAATGTGGCGTGAACAGCTGTATCGTGTATATTCACTATAGCACAAATAAGCAGTGAGAGTGGCTTTGAGACATTCCATGGGCTTGTTCCAGAGTCCAGTTTCAATGACTTCACCAATCTGTGCCATGTCATGCACCTTGCATTAGTGTTGAGTCTCTATATTTGCAGTGGGGTCCCTCATAATATTTTTGCTGACTTTGCCCTTTGAAAGGATGCTTGCTAAGTCAAAAAAAGGGGGGGAGGGGAACCCACTTGGTATTCCAAGAGTGAAATCGGCTATAAAGTTATTGCTGTGTCCAAATCGTGCTCTCTGTTAGGCTTTTAAGTTGCTTAATTTGGTCTTCTAAAACACTTCCCTGTTGGCTTTCCTCCTGCAGTAATGCAAATTGTGTTGGATCACACAGTGAGTGTTGTGCTCTACGTGTGTTTCTCCTAAGACATTGTGTCAGACATCCGGGGCCCAGAGTCCAATCTGTTTTCTGTGCAAGGAACTAAAGAATAGACTCCTAGTAACAGAGGAGTTCACAGTACCACAGTGCAGCTATTGTAGAGCACTTTTGAGATTTAAATAAATGTAGAATTGCACTGTAAGCTTGGGATTTTCAGCTTCCTTTCTGTGTATTGGCTAATTTTGGCACGATCAAAAGTGTTGGGATGTAGAGACACTGCAGGGCAGGATGGAGGTGCTACCTCCTTTTGCTGTGAAGTAAGTGTTGTCCTCCAGCCTGTGTGTCAGAAATCGGAGTTGTGAAAAATGGATGTTCAGACTAGACTCTGCTGGACTTGATTTTTCCTTAGCAGTGGGTCTCCTATCTGTCTTCACTGCGGAGTATTCCAGCCATTTTTACCATCTTCGGTATGACAGAAATTGAAGCTCAGCTATGAGGTTATTTGATATTTCCATAAATAAAGGTGAGTGGGATTAGAACAGTCACCTTGTGCTTGACTTTTGTCTCTGTCTAACCAGAGTGGGCGTACCTAGCCAGTTGTGAGAACTAACCCCAGATGATACCAGTTTGCGTGGAAAAGTTGTTGCATATCCTGGCACAGGGCTGCAGTCAGAGGAAAAGTATCTCACAGTAAAGCAACAGGTGCTGCCCTGCATAGATTTAAAGCTCATCGTGTGCTAAGAGGATGGAATTGAAGGAGCTTAGGTAAAGTTTGCCTTTGAAAGGCACTTCCATTGCCAGAAAGATCCCCTTCCCTTGATGTGAAGAGTGTTGTTCCACGCTGGGTATAAAACTGCACTGCGTAGCTGCAGTAGTTGCTGCCGCTTCCAAAAGGAGAGATTCAGAATATGAGTACAGATGGGTGCTTAAAAGCTTCTTCTTGGCTTATTAGGGAAGCTTTCTTCCAGTACAATTGCTATCTGTAACAATCTGTTCTTAGAAACTAGTTCACACCTTACAGACTTGCTGACTTTTGTTGCATACTGGAACAGAGGCTGATTTAAACGGCCCTAGAGGAATCTGTGTA